TATGGGTAGAAATAAATATTGAGAATATAGACATGGGGTCAGCAAGTGGCATGGTGGTTAAGGCGCTGGACTCCCACATCACTGACCATGGTTCAAGGCCTGGACCTTGTGGCTTGAGAATCATGCTGGGAATGTGTGCGTGCATGCCCTAACTCCGGAAAGAATAATGGAGGAGAAGGGATTGGGGAGTGGACATCCCCTGTGAGGGGTGATTTCTCGCCTTCCCTCTATCTGTCTCTCTCCAGCAAGTGCCTATGTTCTATGGCAAAAACATAAAGAAAAAAAAAGGAGAGAGAATATAGAGAAACCTACAGATGTTCATATTAGACCCAAAGCAACATAGTGAAAGCTTAGAAAACAGAACGTAGGGGTTAGCAGGTAGCATAGTAACTGAGGTGCTAGACTCCTACATGGTTGACCATAGGGCTCTGGGCCTAGCCACTTGCAAATTACACTGGGTGCATTTGCACGTGTGCCCAAAATTCCAAGAAGAGAATGGAGAAGAAGGTGTTGCAGTGTGACCACTAAAAATAAAAAAGAAAAAGAAAACAGAATGTAAATTTGAATGATTGGCACAAATCTCAAGATCAGCCTTTGAATCAAACATGCACAGGTAAAAACAAGACCAATAAGTAATGGCTTAGAGGACTGACCTGAGATTTGAAAAACGTGTAAAGCTTAGACTGATCCCTGAACGATACATAGGCAGGAGAGCCCCAAACAGCGTGGCAAAGGCTTAGACAATGGAACCGAAATCTGAATCACTGTCTACCTGGATATTGTGAGGCAGCATATGATCTTAACTGCACTGACCGCCTGGGGACACAGAACACCCACATGAAGACAAAATAGAGACTTTAAAGACAGATAAAGGCACCCTCAACAGGCTCTTACACCACAATCCTCTTCCCAGTCCTGCACCAGCCAGGATCACGTGCATGCCAGACATGTTTGGGCAGACCTGAGGACACGGACCTGGACCCTACCCACGTGGCTCCAGCATTGCACAGCAGAACCCCCACTGCCTGCACCACTGCAGCGATGCCAAAATAAAAACTTCCCTTAAGTGAAGGAAAAATAAAGGCATTCGTTGCTAACAGACTTATTCTAGAATACACTTTAAAATACGTTCTTCAGGTTAATGGGCAACAATACTAGGAGATAACCTGGAGAATAACGGGAGGACAGC